TGTGTGTCTGGCCCTCACCAACAAGCACGTGAGCTAATTGGTATAAATCTGAGAAACCAGGTTGGTAAGTTTGAATAACTTAAATTCCTCAGCACACCTATGGGGATCCTTCATCACTTGGGGGAAGTCTGGCTTGCAGTTCAGCCTTAGTCCAGGCAAGGTAAGAAATTGGGGTTTATTAAGATCCCCATTTGGGGTCCATTTTGATAGGTTCAGGAGAGGAAGGACTGGGGCGGGAAACAGAAAAAGGGAACTTTAGTGGAAGGATTCGGAAGAGTGGGGGGGTACGCAGGAGGCGGGGACAAAGCAGAGGGAGGGGAGAGAGGGCACTGGAGGCCTGGTCTGCACATCATGTGGCTGCCACCTGTCTGGAGACAAAGAAGATGGGGGAGGGGAAAGTGGCTCAGAAGCCATTTTGACACCTTTCAATGGTTTGTTTACTTCTGTTAATTGATTTTTGCAGAGAGCAACTTTAGATCCTGATAATGTTTGGAAACTTCAAAATACCCATTAAAATAGGCATCCCATTTGCTTTTGACAATTTTAGAGCCATGGCTGTCCAATTTTGTTTTGATAAGAGTCAGTTTGGGGAGATCAGAAGTCTCCAGTAATGACAATTGATGATCTAAGTTACTTCTGATGAAGTCAGTCCATTTAATTAGAAACCTGCATGAGGAGAGACTGTACTTTTTAAACATAAAACCAGAGGGGTGCCCTCAAAGCATTGTTATGACTGGGATCCCATTTCTTGGGTTTCTCTTTAGAACAAAAAAAGAAATTCCTAAAAACCACTGCTTCAATAGGAACAGGCTGTTCCCAAAAGAACTTGGTCAAAAGGCCAGCACAGATCCAGGCAGAACAGTCTGATTCCACACATTAGTTGGGCCAAAGGCCAACACTCTTCTAACACGCACAGTTTATGACACCAAGTAAGTAAACCTTAACTGTTGGTTATTTCACCAGCAAAAATGGGTTTATACAGAATAACAAGAATTGCAAATGAGGACATGCAAGAAA